TCTTAATGTCTTCCTTCTTTTGATGTCTGATATGGTTCAGAATGTGCTACCATCGTGGAGAAAGGGGAGGATGAAGTTTACCACAAAAGGTGCAGATCACTGGTTCGCCACGTTAGGTGGTTTTGTTGGTGTCAGAGTGCCCTTGTTGCTTTGAAGTACTCGTGGCACTTACGATAAAGCGCTTTTCAGCTGCCGATAGTTGATGTCTTTTTCATAACTTCTCTGAAAGTGATGCTCAAGTTGTCGTGTTTTTTGTGCTAAGCAAAGAGAAGAAAAGAGCTACTCGCCAAGCAGTTCAAATATATCACACTACCCAAATTCGAAGATTGCAGTTTTTGCACGATATACCTTCCAAAATGGTCCCAACAGTGCTTTACGGTGCGAGAAGAATGTTGGGCTGTGTGAACCCTGTAGGCTTGATCGCCGTGACATGCTGTCTTGTTTGATTGTGTGCTCTATCTGCTTACTAGACAATTGTTTCAGTTGACGTGATTTCAACTTGAATGGCAGTGACTTACAATTGTGTAGGAGGAATAACGAAAAACTGTGCAAATGCGAAGTTTCAATCTTAAATCACATCTGCCGCCAATGTAATCAAACCTTCAATAGACATGCGAGGACGAGAGTAAAATCGTGATGCCGTGGTAGAGCAGTGAGAGCAAAGCAAAATAGTTTGAGCAATCCATATTTGGAATTCCCTTGCCACTAGCGAAACCAATGAGCAACCGCCGACTCAGCCTCCAAGCCGCCGCCACTGGCATTCAAGCACTGCTTAAAGGGCATGCTTCTCGTGCTGCCGAGCTACAACAATTTCCAACTGAGTTGCAATTCAACGACGACGACGCCATTACGCAGTCCGATTGCCCCATTCTTGAAACCTGCATGCAAGCTAAAGGCAACGATGGTGTGTTCGGCTTGACCAACTTCACATCAAGTGAAATAACATCGATTTGGCTGGATCTCGAAAACTACGTTGCGGGCAACTGGAACGTTGGGCGAGGAAAGAAGTGTCAGCACTCAGGAAAAGACATCCTTTTCATGACGCTGACGGTGCTCAAGCTTGGTGGAAAGTGGGATGCGATGTCGAGCATCTTCGGTCTCAAAGCACCGACATTTGAGAAGACAAATGTCAAATTTTTGCGCGTCGTGAGTCCGTACTGGTACCAAGAGTACGTCGAAACAGTGCACGACCATGCCACCATGCATCGTCTACGAACAAGTGGTCGCCACCACGCATCGTCTACGAACAAGTGGTCGCCAATTCGAAAACTATCCTTGTGCCAGATACGCAACCGACGTAACATTTCAGCAAACTAACCGTCACGGTGGCAACATGGTCGAGTTCAAGCCATTCTACAGCCAGAAGCACCACATGTATGGTCTGAAGGTTGAAGTGTCCGTGCTCCCAATTGGTCTTGCAATCAACTGCTCAAGGCATCATGGTGGCAACACGGCCGACATCACAATTTTCAAGGAGAACATGGACTTTCACATTGTGGCATCGAAGAAACAGCCCAACGAGGCATCCCTTCCAGACAACGGACCCCTGCACACAGAATACAAGGACCAGTGGGCAATTTTGACGGACAAAGGATATCAAGGGATTCCAGAATTTTCCCGTGGAATAAACCCAACGAAAAAGCAACCTAACAAGCTCTTGACAAGGGAAGAAGAGGCCACAAACGCTGCCACTTCAGCGGACAGGGTCATTGTGGAGAACTTCTTTGGTAGGCTGTATGTTTTGTGGGGTATTTGTGCCAACAAGTACCGATGGTGTCGTACATGTCCGAAGACAAATCTACACGTCAAGCGAAACACAATGCGCTCCAATGACCGTGAGCACTACCGATGCCAGAATCGTCTCAACCACATTGTCGTCAGCACAAGAAGCAAGAGAAAAGGAGTCAAGCGCAATCACGCAGTAGACGCAGAGTGCGTCTTGAAACAAGCTATCATCGTAGACTCGAGGATGCGTCAGGTTCGGAAGTAGATGAGTTTGACTTGACAACTTTGTAAATTTGGTATATGTTGATATTTCGTGTCAAGTTGTGTTTTGTTGGAAAAAACTCGATGAATTCGAATTTGCCCTAAATACTATCATATTCCACGTCCATTTCATAGGATGGACGAGACCTTCATAGTGTCTCTGTTTGTCACGACAAATTCTCTTTGTGGTTTTGTCGTCTACTTGTGGTGGTTGGCAAATGTTGGTTAGGTGGTTTGTGATCATTCTGATGTGTACAGTTACATGAATTACGTATGCATCACATTGTTACTTCGATCTCATTGCCGCCTGCTTCAACGTCACCGTACGCACTCGTTGGCAGAGCGGAATGTGGCTCACTCGTCAAGATCCTCGAACTCCTCAGACTTCGCCTTCGCTCGATTTTCGCCACAATGCTTGGAGTTTCTCCTTTTGCCTGGTCGCTTTTTGCCGTTCCTCCCGCGTTGAGTCGATCGTCAGAAGCAGGCCCAAGGTAAGAATCCTTCTCGCTACGTCAATCGATTTTCATCCAATTCGTCGTTTTGCTTTGGATGGTTGGCACAACAGCTATGATTGAATTTTGGGACGCTGCACCAACTAAGCTACTAATTCGAAAGAAGTTGGCATATCCCCCTGTTTGAAAGGGATGTATCGTTACAATATCTTTTCATCGACACTGGAACGATACGATTGCAATTAAATCCGTCGACGAGGTTTTTCGATTTTCGGTAGGATATGTTGCACTGCACTGCGCTGGGCTTGGAGATGGTGTGGAAGTCTATCTTGTGAAAATATTTGCACATTATTATCTATAGTAACAATAGGGCTGGTACATAACTTCCTTCAGAGTTCTGCATGCAACTTTAGAAAGGCGACATTTCGCGCGCACTGCTTTCGCGCAAACATTACTCGTACCTCTAATTGCAATAACTTCCATTGATTTTTGACATGAAGCAAAAGCCGTTTCGTCCAAGTTGCATACGACCAGGGGTGAGTCCATGAACCTCAATGGCGCCTTGCAATGATGTAAACAAAGTATGCACTGTACACCATCGTCAACAGCGTTCCGTGAGTACGAGATGACTTGGACCACGCGTTTGGTAAGCTGTGGGAGTACTGCTGCAGTAAACGGAGGTACCATCCTGCGGTCAACACCCTTGTGGGTTCAGCCGGCGGTAGACTTGATTTGCTTTGACAAAGACCGCATGCCTGTCTGTTGGGGGCCGTCGCGCTGCGCGACACAGATTCACGCGACTAAGTCTTCTTCGCATCCGCTCAGACGCACTGGTCTTGGGCCACGCCGACTCTCTTCAACAAAGCTTCTAAACCTTGGCGTTTTTATCCAAGTTGCGTATAGAATCCGCGTTTACTGTGCAACAACCGCTTAAAAGCATTTCGTACACGGTGTGACGTTGAGGAAAGCTCAAGTGCTTGCGGACGTCCAAGGACTCCCGGCTTGGTGCGTCGACGGATACCGGTGGTGATGGAGGGGGCATGTAGTGATAGTAGGCGAGTGCAGATAGTGTTTTGGAGTCGATTAATTGTATAATGAAGTGCTGGCGTAGATTTTTCTGACAGAGATGAATGCCCACAAGTTTTGCCGCGCGATATCTCAACAACCAAAATGACTGGAAATAGAGCAAACTACCCAATCATAGCAGAGATTTTACGCTTTCCTACGCGCCAATCAGACACCCAAACGGGGTACCATTAGAAAAATGCCGCCAATCAAAAGTGGAAAGTGACAAATTTTGTGGAACAGAGTAGTAATAGGGTGTGATTTTACAACTCATTACAAGATTTGCTACCTCCCGAAGCTCTTAACAGAACATTTTATGCAGCGCAAGGAGGTATTAGTACTTCTAGGTCTTCAGTTCACTTTTTTACAGTTGCCACGGACCACTGTCGTCGCCGTTCATGTAACTGCTGGACGAGTTGGTGCTGCTGAATCGATTGTTGCAGGAATTGTCATGGTCGTATGATGCAAGGCTGAGGTCAAAGACGGCGCTGCCACGTTTGCTTCTAGGTACTGATGTATTTGTTCGTGCAGCCGTAATGGTCCTATAGTGTAATGGTTAGCACCTAAGACTCTGAATCTTGTATTCCGGGTTCGAGTCCCGGTAGGACCTTGATTTTTCCTTTATAATTTGATATTCATTGAAAGGCTTCAAGTCCACCAACAATAGGTAATAGTATTCTCATGCGCCATGTTTAGAGGATTAAAGCCATTGGTTGTGATATTTGTCAAAAAGTCTCGCAAAGTTTTATCGGTTGTGATTTTTTTTTCGAGTTTGATGATGAACAATCTCCCGAATGCATCAGATCGATGAGCTCCAAGTTGTTACACTGGACACAACAATGTGTAGAGCTGCAGTTTATGTCGTTGTGCGCCTCAACGGCAATATCGGCCGAAACAACAGGACCGCTCGAGTTACGAATCGGACGCCTGAGCTGAGTCAGTCTTGTCGAGTCATCGAGTTCAATATTGCTATGTTGATATCACTCTGGTCAAGCATGGTTAGATGAATCGATGACGCGGTGTTAACCGTAAAGAAAATAGGAGTGCTTTCTTCGTCGTTATTTTTGTTCTACTTTACACGATGTACATACTGAATACACATGGACGTCATTCGAGTCGTCGAAGCCATTGTCTTAAATGTCGCCTTGCACAGCGCGGCATCACCATTTTGTTCGCACGCACTGCTCAGTAGAATTGGTGTGGTGTTGGATTCAATAATCCATTTCCAGGTTGAGGTGCAGTTGGCGCGACGAGTCCTCTATACTATGTTGTCGACATACGTTCAACCCGTTTAGTAAATTATAATGTCTGTCAGCTCTATGGGGACGCAAGTCGGGAGAGGGCTAGATTGTCTTTCGAGGCGATATGATCGCCATAGTCTTGACTCGACAGAAGAATACTCTGCTTCGCTGTCAGAGTTTTAATGGTCGCGGGGGAAACACGATCATCTTGATATGGGCGACATTTAGAAAAATTGCACATGTCGGAAGCTGTACCCTGCAAATATTTTGGACGAGAGTAGTATTCATTACCAAGTACACTAAAATAGAAAGGTCTATGAACTAGTCGTCGTCTGCAGAACTTTCATTGTCGTAGTTTGATCAGCCGCATGTTCCAGCATTGCTTTCAACAGTCTGGAGATGCGTGTCAAGTTACTGCACTTCCTCTTCTGCCGCGTTCATGCAGCCTCGGTTGGCTGACTCAGACAAATTTTTGAAAGATCGTTTGAGCGCGAAGAACGGCAGGAAAGGTTGTGGTGCTGGTGTACTGACGGGCCACTTCGCCTTTAACTACCGCCGAAACAAGTACGATAGACATTAGATCCGAGTGATGTGGTGGTGGGAGTTGAACTACGTGGCCTTTTAGAGACTCCATTGCAACCATAACTATTTCAATGTTGGCCTCAATATACAGTACCGAGGTGACCACAAAACACTCTTCAAGTCGTCCGGCGGAATGACATTTTGTTATTCGGCAAGCTACGTGCATGTTAGCATTTTCCACTTTAACTTTGGAGTACCAACTGGGAAAACTTTGTACTACTCGGGCCCACCGAAGGTGTCCACTTTCGAAATTGGTCGAGGCCCACTGAAGGTGTCCACTTTTGATTTTATTGGTCAAAAATGTAAGAAAATGATATTCATTGGTTAAAACTCACACGAAATAGGTGAGAGGGCAAGCGGCAAATAGTGGGTGATTTCAAATTGCCCTATTTCAGCCATTTTGGCGTGAATTCAATCAAATGACACAGCAATCCAATCAGCAAAC